ATAAATAAATAAATAAATAAATAAATAAATAAATATAAAAGGGGGGACGCGGTGGCGCAGCAGCTTAATGACGCTGAAAGTTGCTGGCCAGAAATGGTCGACGCTTCAGCGGTTCGAGTCCAGCCTTCGTGTTAAACAGGGTGAGCTCCTGTTTCCTCCCCAGTTCCTGTCAACCCATCAGTCGAAAACTCACGTGAGTAGATAAATGGGTACTCTCACTCCGGTGGGAGGAAAAATGCTGGCGGCGCTTTGCAAAAAGGAGTTGGGAGCAGTTGCCGGTAAGCGCGAAAAACCCCGTGCACCCGAAAAAGGGCGCGAAGCAACGGAAACTCCACCTCCCGCGCTCGCCAGCTGGGCTCTGCTCTAGGAAGGAGGCTCTGGCAAACCACTTCCGAAAAACAATTGCCTTGAAAACTGCAGAAGGACTCGTCCAAAAAGCAGTCACTGCAGAGTCGGTAACGACTGAGCGCAGACTATATATATAATGTGTATTATTTACAGACACATATACACACCACAAAAACAATCCAATAATACTTTACTTGATAACTATTACTAAGAAACCCACATTTGCAAATCTATTATCACATGAGTTATTTGGTCATAACCATTCTTCCTAAAATTATTTTTAGGAATACTTATTTAGATAAGTATTTTTAGACAGTAGAAACAAGTATCTTTCACAGCACTGACTTTATAAAATGGTTAATGTAAAATAATGCAACATACTAAAAATAGTGCATAAAGCAGCATAAAAAACTATAAGCTTCCTTATGCAGCATATAAGGCATCATCTTCTTACCTCTGAGCTGTAATCATCTGCTGCAGTAGAAGTCTCACTTTCCAGCTAAAAAAAAAAAGTAAAAATAAGAGGACAAGAATTATTTTATAGGATTCTAACATAGGAAGATAATGAAAATCTTCAGTACCTTAAACGTTAGTTACTAGGCATCATCTGTTATGCGAAGACCGCTTAAAATTAACACACAGTGTTTTAAAAAGATGCTTATATTGGAAAAATGAAGCTAAATTTAATGACTCTTGAAAGTAAGGGTTGAATAGTAAACAAAGATTACTCTTGGCAATTGGTAATTTGAATCTCTCCTGATATTTCCCTTCCCTGGAATTAAACTCCGAGAAACCTTTCAGAGCCAATAATAAAGTCAAAACTTGTCTTGAAGCTTTAGGAAACATTTCATTTTACTCACTTTGACCATATCTGAACCATGGTATAAATGCGACGTATAAACTGACATACAGTGTTCCATGTATGTTACAGGGAGTTCAGCACCACAATGGTGACGTTCCTTAAAGCTGATTATGGTATTACATACAATTGCAGGTGGAAAGAGGGAAATATTTCTATGAAAAAAAACCCTATACTGCCTAAAATTTTAAGAAATATTCCCTAACTACAATGAAATATAACAAATTAGAAATTTAAAATTCTTAGAAAACATTTCTAGTTATAATGATTTTACAGCAATCAGGAAAGGTAAAAGTGCCTGAAAAAGATGAGCAACTCTAGAACAAGGAGGTCAGGAAGTAGACTGGGGTTTACTGGTAAATAATAAATTCTGCAAGGGTTTAACAACAACAACATTCGTATGACTTTTACTACCTAAATTAGGTTACAAAATTAATCTCAGGAATGGATTTTAGTATAAACAAAATATGAACGTAGATCAGTTCTAAACAAAATTTTACATATACGTGTAGGTGTTATATCTGGCTTTGTTTAGTGAATCTTGTGGGTTGCAGTGAAAAGCCAAAAATTCCAAAACATAACAACTTTTAATCTCTGTTCTGAAAAAACTCTGGAAATATTTTTCACAGTGAAATAACCCAACTGTGAGACTATAAAAGAATCATATTATTTATTTTAACTTTTCAAAAAGAAAAAGAAAACATCATGTTTCAGGTACAGCAAGGCCTATTGCTATAACAAAAAATTTAAAAATTGACCAAAAAGGTGAATGTAGTATTTCTGCTTGGCCAAAAGGAAAGTGAACTATATTATATGGATCTATGGCTATGGATCTATTTAGGCTTCTTGCATATATATTTTGCATATATATACTGTATATACTGCTTTTGTCTTGCTATGTGGTAAATTACTTTGAAACTGAAATGAGTTTCCCAAAGCACTTGGGGATATTGTATTATAAGGATATGCCTTACCTCCTGCCAACTAAGTTCTTCTATTATTATTTCAATGCATTTAAGGTTGCAAAACAATCTCTAATTATGAACATTTTCAACACTAGCAGAAAAATACCAATAGAAAATCAGAAGGAAATTCTTGTCTTCTAAAAGTAAATTAAACAAATCTAAAATACACTAACTATATTGACATTAACAGTTTCACTTCTTTTTATCTTACAACAGATTTTTTCCCCCTACATATTCAGTCCATCTTTATGTTAGTGAAAATCTGTATTTCACAAGGAAATTATCCTTAAAAATTACTATTTATAAATCTAAATATACTAACAAGATGTTGAGACTATTTGCATATTTATAGGCAGAAAAGCATTTGATAATGTTTTCTTTTGTGTTTTGTATCTGTGTACTTATTGTATGATCTTTGAGGACCTGAAGAGGACTTGTAACAAATATACAGGTAGTCCTTGCTTAATGTCCAGTCGTTCAGCAAACGACTGAAGTTACAAAGGCGCTAAATGAAGGGACTTACGACTGGTCCTTGAAGTTCCTAGCTGAGTCCTCCTTTCGCACACCAGCGAAGGAAGCCTAGTGTGTAAAAGAAGGCCTGCCTGTGGCAGCGCAAAAGAAGGACCCTTCTAGCTTGGTCATTCTTTCACACTGGCACAGCCAGGGCCTTCTTTCACATCCCGGGCTTCTTTCGTGAAAGAACACCCTGGGCGGGGTGTGAATGGAGGCCCGGGGCAGGGCACAAGAGAAGCCCTGGCTGCACCAGCGTGAAAGAAGGCAGCGCGAAAGGAGGCCCTGGCTGGTACAGTAGTGGTGGATGGTGCAGCAGTGGGCAGGGCGGCAGGGGCAGCTGGTGGCAGCGGGTAGGCAGGGGGCCAAAATGGCAGAGATTGGGGGGAGGTAGGCAGGTGGGGTGAATTCAAGAGGAGGCAGTCCCTTACTTTACCAAAACTCAGGGCTGGGAGGCACCAAGCCAGAAATGGCTCAGATCGGGGTGGTCCTCACCTAACGGCTGGTGGGATTCATTTAACGATGGCAACAGGGACTGCCAAAATTCCCATTGCTAAGCAATATGGTCACATGACATCATGCTTTACAACTGCATTGCACAGCAACCAAAATTCTGGTCCCAATTACCATTGTTAATCGAGGACTACCTATATAGCTGCCCAGAGTCACCCGCTGGGGGAGATGGGCGGCATATAAATTTAATAACTAAATAAATAAATAAATAAATAAATATTACATTGCAATTAGACCAATTATTAACTCAATGTTTATAGATAGATTGCCAATAACATTTCAAATAAACATCAATATAGAATATTATATTGTGAGATCCTACTTTTAAAACACCACACTTTCGATAAATTCTACATAGATTTATTATTTCTTCTACAATATTTATAGCCTGTCCCAATCCTGTCAGACTCTGGCACTATAGCCTCTTATAATGGCCCTTTGAATTATTAATGCTATAGCCCATGTAAAAAATAGGCAATTACTTATTTTAACAGCACTACATGAGAAAATAAATTGCCCTCGCTTTCAAAGCAGACAAGTTTAAAAATGGTTATAATATTTAATTCACTACACTGTCTAACAGTAAGCAGGCACAATCTCTAACCCTACTTTTTTTAAAAAAATCTCAAAGTCTGAAATACTTACATCTGTGGTATATGTTTGATCATGCTTGATCATCTCATCACTGTGTAAAGTTCTCACTACAACAGATTCAGATGTAGCAGCTGCTCCTCTTTGATAGCTATGTGGGGATGCATCTTCTGTTTGCAATTGGTTAATATCCAGACCTCCTTGTACCAATTCTTCATCTCTGATTTTTGATATCTTTTTTTTCTTCTTCTGCTTCTTCAGTGCATGCTGCCCATCAGAGTGTGCTTTTCGTTGTCTAAACTGTGCAAGCTGAACACAAAAGAAAATCCTGTTAGGGTGAAAGATTTCCAATATGACAGTATTTATAAAAATGTATGGTGTTCTACATAAACTTGCAATTTAACAGTAGGCGAACTCAAGCTAAAGGTTAGTACTCAATTTAAATTTTTTATATACAAAATATAAAAATAACATCAGAACAAGATGTAACAGAATAAGAGCATCAACATGTAGCCTATTAAATAAATATATATACAGTATCTTGAAATCTTTAAAGTAGTAATTGATTAGAAATAACTCAAAGAAAATAAACTTGAACTTAAAAATAGTTATTTAGATAATGCTATATTACTATCAAATTTTCCTTGCATGCCCTATCCCCAATTTCATAATTTTTCTTTTAGCAACATTGCACAAAAGTATTTCATTAAATTTTTACCATATTAAGGGAGCAATATCTGAACAGAAAGCATAGAGGTATATCCAGTAATTGTGTTACTGTAGTAGTAGTAGTAACCTGCCTTGTAGCAAAATACTTCTATGAAAAAAACCACATACTATGCCAGACAAAACACAACTGAAAACTAGTTAGTAACTAAACTATTCAAGTATTTAAGTCATTACTTTTTGTATAGCTTATCACTTTTAATGAGACAGAAATGCATTTTCATATACAAACCACTAATTTTTTCTCAGCCAGAAACAAATATAAGGTACAGCAAGAAAACAATGAATTTGAAACCTTAAACATTAAAAATTGTAATCTGACTGCATTCTTAAGAATGTCAACATTTTGGGGGATGTATCATATATAAACAGAAGCAGACACCCATATTATTTGTGAGTTAAGAAATACAAATGTATCCTGCCATTTGAATAAACAAAGAACAGTCTAGAAAGCCAGGTCTCCATTCAATTTCTTATTCTCAACTGAATTTTAAAAAACACTGAAACTTCTGACAAAAAAAGAATATTCATAGTTGTTGTTTGCTAGAATATAAGCCACTACAAGAAGAGAGTATAGGTAGTCCCTGGGTTAAGAACACCCTGTTTACGGACAATCCAGAGTTAAGAACGGATCCTACTGTAGCAAAATTCAAGTTAAATACACATTGATTCGAGTTAAATACACAGT